AGTGGGAAAATGCAAATGGAATCGAGATTGCTGTACCTACTTTCGGTTTCCAGGTGTTTAAAAGCTACAGGATCCCGCCTCATTCTCTAGACTCCCACTTGTATACCAGTTGCAAACAATGGAGTCCCTCAATCCAAAAAGTCTGCTCCGTGCAGCTTTGCTTTCCACTGCATTATGTGCTCCTAGTATCACAAATGCGCAGTATGTTATCACCGATGATACATATTTCTACGGACAATCTCCACCCGTGTATCCATCCCGTGAGTTCCCATCTTCCCATCTTTTATGAGTTCCTATCTCTCTTTGGACAAACGACTTATAAATGCCACAGCCGAAATGCCAGGAAACGGATCATGGGCATCTGCTTATTCTAAAGCTGTCGCTCTGGTTTCCCAGATGACCATGGCTGAAAGAGCCAACCTCACAGTTGGGAAATCAGAAGGCTTGAACGGTTGTAATGGCCTAACAGGCTCTGTACCGCGACTCAACTTCAAGGGTATCTGTATGAACGATGCCGGAAATGGTCTTCGTGATACAGAATTGGTGAATTCCTGGCCTAGCGGTGTCCACATGGGTGCAAGTTGGAATAAAAATTTGACTTACCACAGAGGGTACAATATGGCAAGGGAATTTAGAACAAAGGGTATCAATGTTGCTCTTGGTCCTGCTGTCGGTCCTCTTGGAAGAGTTCCAATTGGTGGGAGGAATTGGGAGGGGATGGGCAATGATCGTAAGTTTTCTTTCAGTTACTTGATTCCCCAAACTCATCCTCTTTTTGGCAATGCCTCGAGACAATCTGAATGTCGCTAATAATAAACAGCATATCTTTCAGGAAAGCTCGCCGCTCAAACTGTTTCCGGAATACAAGATGCTGGTATAATAGCATCGGTGAAACATTTCATTGGGAATGAACAAGAATATAAGAGAAAGCCATTGGGCAACATTTCTGCCATCTCATCTAATATCGATGATAAAACAATACACGAATTATATCTTTGGCCGTTTGCCGATACCGTGCACGCAGGAGCTGCCTGTGTCATGTGTTCATACAATCGACTCAACAATTCATATGCCTGCCAAAACAGCAAAGCTCTAAATGGACTTTTAAAAACCGAATTGGGTTTTGAAGGATTCGTTGTAAGTGACTGGGAAGCATTGCACGCTGGTTATGCAGCAGCAGAGGCAGGATTGGATGTTGTCATGCCAAGTTCAGATCTTTGGGGAGTGAGTGGTGAAAATTTGACAGCATCCGTTGCCAATGGGTCTCTTGCGGAGTCAAGATTAACCGATATGGCTACTAGAATTGTGGCCAGTTGGTATCAAATGGGTCAAGATGAAGATTTCCCAGAACTCGGTTTGGCATCTTCATATTTGACACCACATGCCAAAGTCAATGCCCGAGATCCTTCATCGAAGCCAATTCTTTTGAGCGGGGCAATGGAGGGTCATGTTTTGGTTAAGAACATCAACAATGCTCTTCCCCTTAAGAAACCCGAATTGCTCTCTATCTTTGGTTATGATGCACCCGTATCAAGTCAGAGTAATATTGGAAATACTCGATATTCGTATGGGATGGAAGCTATCTTGGATCTCAATATAACCTACACTCCCATCAATATCTCATTACAAATCGCAAGCAACGGAACTCTCGTCGCTGGAGGTAAGATGAGTTCGATGACCCCAACAAGATAGCACATATTAACAACATGTATAGGTGGAAGCGGCTCAAATGCCCCACCATATATCTCTGCTCCTTTTGATGCACTACAAGAACAAGCTTATAATGATGACACAAGTCTTTTCTGGGACTGTAAGCATCTGGCAACTTACGTTTTTAAGTCTTACTAATAGATTATAGTCGTCTCCGTTGATCCTGACGTGAATACCGGCTCGGATGCTTGTCTTGTATTCTTAAACGCGTATTCTATCGAGAATAGTGATAGACCTGGTCTTTACGGTTAGTTGAACATTCCCTATCATACTAAAGAATAACAATACTAACAGATGTAGATGAATTTTCTGATACTTTGGTAAATAATGTTGCATCAAAATGTAACAACACTATTGTGACCATTCATAATGTTGGAATACGTCTGGTTGATCAATGGATCGAGCATCCAAACGTTACCGCCGTGATTTTTGGTCATCTACCTGGTCAAGATAGTGGTCGAGCACTTGTTAAATTGTTGTATGGCGTTGAATCATTCTCCGGTAAATTGCCATATACGATCGCAAAGAACGAGTGGGATTACAATGTGTACAATCACTCGGTACCTGAGGGTATTTATACACAATTTCCACAGAGCGATTTTTCAGAGGGTGTCTATCTCGATTATCGCGATTTTGATGCTAAAAACATAACTCCAAGATTTGAATTTGGGTTCGGATTAACCTACACTACTTTTAAGTATTCCGACCTCTCAAGTTCACTTGTTTCAAATGCAAGCACAGCTTACTTACCGCCAATTACCACCATCATCCAGGGCGGAGCCCAATCTCTCTGGGACGTTGTCGCAAAGGTTCAAGCAACTGTGTCAAACAACGGTACAATGGCCGCCATGGAGGTTGCACAATTGTATGTCGGTATTCCGAATGGACCAGTTAGACAACTGAGAGGGTTCGAGAAGGTCAACATACCAGTTGGAGAAAGCGCGGTTGTGGAATTTGAGTTGACGAGAAGGGATTTGAGTGAGTGGAGCGTGGAGGAACAAAGTTGGGTTTTGCAACAGGGAAGTTATGGGATCTGGGTTGGATCGAGTAGTAGGGATTTGCCACTGAGTGGAAATTTGATCATTGGAGGATCATGAAATTGGAAGAGATGTTAAATGAGTCGCCAAGGGTAATGAATAGTAATGTAATGATACTATCACCAAAATCAGAGTTTTGATATATTTTTTTAGGACAACAAGAGACTGTTTGTGTTGTGCACTCTCTGTAGTGAGACTGTAGGAATGTCTTACACTTTGTTATATCACGACGCTCCTCACCAAAGTCCCCTGGCGCCATATATCCCTTTTTGGTACAAATCAAATATGAAGCTTCCTTCACGGAGGAATGTCAATTTTTGTTTATCCATAAGCTTCGTATGGATACTTGATGTGAAGTCTGGGAATGAATAAATATATGACTTCCCGTTATCTACTCGGGGACTTCGGAATCACATCACGATAAATCTCTCCGTAATCTTATAATTATTCAAGTAGGGACAATTGATCGAAGCCGCCAGACTCCGTACAAGATGTAGAAGTTATTCAAGGGTACCAGCTAAACTTTTGCTGATGTATGTATTGCTTCATCTCCATATGAAGTGATTTTGTGGTAAATTGTAAAAGTACGTGTTCTATGAGCTCCACATGTTCTTGACGTGTCACTAGCTTTAATACATGTACTAGATTGGTGTTGGTGTTGGTGTTGGTGTATCAGATCTGGTCCGTAAGCTTGCCAACTTATCCTTGAGCTCTCTCCGCTTGGAGTGTTCAGAACTTCAGGGTCTCTTGAAGAATACTTATCGTACACCGTGGCTAATAATAACAATAATCATAATATACCTAGCGGCCACTTTCCAGATGACGATAGGCTCAGCCACCATCAAATCAATCCGGAAATCCGGGGCACAAAACTTGAACATTGACTCGCTCGAGACTGATAGGATGAGACGTTTTTGTTTCATCGATATACACATATACTCGGTACTAAAATGCACTTCCTCAGAGGATATCGTGGATATACATTGATCTTGAAGGGAAGGCTGTGTTGCTTGGCGACAGCGATGATTTGTGAGTTGACTACCTAGGTATTGAGGGTTACGACGAGGTGACGAAATCAATCTGGATGCTCGTTGCCACATGATGACTTTGAGAACTGCTTTGTTGGTTAAAATATTCAATTATTTGGGTTTTTATATTCTGGTTTATTGATCATTAATATATAATGAAACTAAAAACTGTATTAGATTTGATTTAAGAATTATTTGAATTATTCAAAAAAACATATGATTTATTTTTAAATATTTTTAAAATAGTATTTTTGAGGGTTAAAGTTGGAAATTCGAAAATTTTCTAGAAATTCGTTTATTTTGTATGGGAAAAGTGTTATAGGTTAAAAATTCTGAACTTTTTAATTAAAAACTTATATAACCTTTCAATGAAAATATTTAAAAATAAATTAGAAAATTTTATATATAAATAATACTTTATACTATTTATTAAAAAGTTTTTATAATTTAATATTGATAATTATATTAGTTATATGCTATTTTAATTTATATAGAAAAATATGAATTTTGCAGGGATTATGTTACAAAACATCACGGTATGCGGTAAGTATGTTCGATAACTCTTACTACCTAGGTAGTTGGGTTATTCTTCTTTGTCCCAGTATATGTATGTATCGTACCTATCTAGGAATGAATGTATTCATGTCGTTTCAAAACACACTACGTCCGATTATTGTCAACAACAAAATCCATCCACGATAGTTCAAAGTAAATATTCCATTTGGGAACATTCAAAGGACCATTCTCCGTCTCTTCTCCTTCCCCTCCTCCTTCTTACCTGCCAATTGAAGAAATATATCGAATTTTTCGACCGAATTGGGGGTTCATAAAACTACGCCGCATTGCTGCATTTTCCAGATTGCTATCAAGTGCCATCAATTGCTATCATATCAGCCTTCTTCTTCACGGTTACCTACCGCCCTTCCCCAAAATAACCGCCCCCATCAGATCAAAACCATTTTTCTTTCCTCGAAAATCTTATACAGGAAAAATATATCGAAGAATACCTAAGCAACCGAAACAAACTGTGTATCGAAAATATCAGTTGAAACTTCATGCAGAACATTGACGCTCCACAGCCTATGGTGATATAATTTAAGCAACGACTTTCGTTATCGCAGTACATAAGATCTCACTATCGCATTCTCTACAAGATATCGGCATCGATTTACCAGAAGATAGAACGTGTCGCAGATTATTAGACGCAGTTTTCGCAGTCACAGCCATGAAAGCCATGAAGAATATGGGCATGAATCGCATGTTGGGTTCACTGAAGCGATGTAGGTAGATCTCGGAGGGAGTTCCACTACTTATGCGCCATAAAGTAAGGGGGGTTGATTTGTATCTGACTGACCATGGAAATTCTCTCTTGTAGCCAAAGATTCCAACGAAGAAACTGGAGATCCTCAGCACGATACACCCGAAGCAAATGCAGCCAGAAATATTGTATGTTATTCTTGGAAATGACCAAAAGTTATGGTATTGATTGTAACACAGCGCTTGTTCTGCGAATCTGGGGGTCCAAATGGCTCGGTATGTACATTCACCTCACTTGGAATATCCATTCGCAAAGTATTATATCTAATATTTTACAGGGTGAAGAAGTGGGTTATCTGCCTGCGATAGTTGAAGCCGCAGAATCCTCCCCGGGAGCTGCGAAAGAATGCGCCCACCATATTCGAAAGTTCCTCTCCAAAGACAACCACAGCAAAGCCTACGTACAATACAATGCGATAATGTTAATTCGAATTCTGACCGATAACCCTGGAATGACCTTTACGAGGAATATGGATGCAAAATTTGTACAAACGGTCAAGGAGCTTCTGAGAACTGGAAGAGACCCAAGTGTCAAGCAGATATTGATGGAAACTTTGGTCACATTCACGAGAGACAAGGCAGATGATGAAACATTGGCTCCTCTAATTGAGATGTGGAAGAAAGAGCAAGAGAAAATGGTGAAAGTAGCAGCAAGTTCCCCAAGCATTATGGTCGATGGATTTTCTCTTCTAATACATCACAGGGCCCCGCAGGTCCGCGAACCCTCGTCGCTCCACCCTTTGATCCCAATGCGCAGAATTACTTTGGACGAAATCACCATACTCATCGCCTCCCTCCTCCACATGAACTCTCATCCCGTATCGAAGAGGCACGCACTTCCGCAAAACTCCTCTCCCAAGTTGTACAATCCACACCTCCTTCCGAACTCCTTGCTAATGAACTTATCCGAGAATTTGCTGATCGTTGTCAATCTGCAAGCAGAAGTGTACAAGCGTACATGGTTTCGGAAAATCCAGCACCAGACAATGATACTATGGAAACCTTAATTGAGACCAATGAACAATTAAGTAAAGCTATGAATCAACATCAAAGAGCAGTGCTACATGCGCGAAAACTCATGGGGCTTGGGAATGGAGATAGTACTCCTCCGACTGGAACAAACTCTGGATTTACACCACCACCTGGTCCGCCACCCAACCAAGTTTCCAAACCTATTCCAAGTAATGGTAAGAGATCAGTGCCACCGATTCCTCCACCAGGAGATATCGCGCCTATGGATGACGAAGACGATGAACGAAACCCTTTCAGTGACCCAGAGCCAAACTCATCAAGGAGACCACCGTTCCCTTCTGATGCGCCACCGAAAACGACTGGTCAGTTCAATGATACTCTTGGTGTCGAACCATATCACCCTGGATTCAAAGAAACCAAGAGCTATGTCGGAAGGCAAGATAGTAGTATAGGCAATGTTACAATGCATGCTGCAGTCAACGAGGTATCAGATGATGAGGACGACGAGCCAAGATACTCGGTGGCTCAGGGCAAACAACCTGTTTATCGATACTAGAGGATTTCAAGAATATATAACACAATGGTAGAGAGATTCCAAAGCTTGGGGTGAATATTGAAGAATTGATGCATTTACGATTTGACGGATGTATACTGGAGCAATTTTCTTGGGTTGAGAGCGAAGCGGCATTGTGATACCTTGGGGTTTTAAGATTTTAAGTGGAATTTTTAATGGGTGGTCGTAGCTGTCAATTTAAGATCGAGATTATATTCATTCGATCCTATTTTCTTTCATTCTTGAGTTAAAGGGCTGCAGGTGTCCAAGAAATTGGACGGAATCGATCAATATATTAGATCAATCGGGTCCGATGATCTCTAGTGTATGTCAGCCATCTCCCACTGCGGAATTATCATTTGCAAGCTGATAGATTGGAATGCATTCAAAGCTCAAAGTGAGATAGATGTCTGAGGGTCTCCATCTGCCTTCGACGTTAACCCCGCATGAGTTTCGGGCTAAGACGACCGAAGGTGTAAATTGTAGATTGAAAGGGCTGGAAATCAGCGGAAACTTTGGGATTGTATCGACAATGCTTCATCTCATTTATGGGTATTCCCGGTCCCGAATTCGAGATTACCATATGCAGGTACATATTCAAGTAAGTGCCATGGGGAAAGTTATGACAGAGTCTCATATCAAAGATTGGGCGAACTATTATCAACCGCCTATCAATCGTATAAAACGCCTATCAACACGCCCCACTAATACACAGTTGATGTATGGATCTAGCTTGAGCCGAATATAACCACCCGAGCTTCGAGCTTCCTTATCAGGTTACCCCCCTGACTTTTTCCCCGCCATCTCGGAAATACCCTTGCCTCGAGGTCTAATATCAAAGTGAGTATGGAAACCAATGAGATAACAACTGAACAGTCAATTAGATCTTCAAGCAAGTACCTCGTATGAGACTCATTCAAGGTTTTTCCCCAATTATTAGATGGGGAACATACGCGGCTCAGCCATGTTTCCTATCACTATGTTGCGGTACCAAGTATTCCTGCAAGTTCCTGCATTATCAATAACTCTAGATAATGACAAGCCGATTTCGGTGTCCATGATTTGATTTGATTTGATTTGTATAAGTATTCACCGTTTGCTGAAAATCAACAATTCAATACTACCATACCCCTCTTGTCAAGAACAGTGAAGGCAATGCCAATCCCTTTCATATAATAACAGAGAAACGCAGGAATAGCTTCCAATCCAACTTCATTATTGACGTATTTCCTCATTCTTGTAGCCTTCGTTCTTTGTCCCATTGCCATCACCTTTTCGTATCAGTTTCCGGCTTGAAGTACCAAGATGTTGTTCCCTCGCCGTCTTCCTCACGTTCTCAGTGTCGCCTTGGCAGCTTTACCTTCCATAAAAGCTACATCAATACCACTAAACTCGACCTCACATGACGATGGAAAGAATGGAGCCGTTGCTAGTGAAAGTTCTATTTGCACAGATATTGGTATTGATATTTTGAAAGTCGGAGGAAAATGCTGCTGATGCTGTTAGTTCAATCATCCCAAAATCTATGGTCACTTTTAGTTATTCTAACTCCTACTAGATCGTTGCCGTACAACTCTGTGTCGGAGTAGTTGGAATGTATCATTCCGGTATTGGAGGTGGTGGTTTTGCAACTGTACGATCAGCCAATGGAAGTTACGAGTTTATTGATTTCCGTGAAATGGCTCCCGCCGCCGCTTTCGAAACAATGTATTCCCCTCCTCTCTCCAACTCTGACGCCTCCCTCTATGGTGGTTTGGCAAGTGGTGTACCAGGAGAACTCCGTGGTCTCGAGCACATCCACACAAAATACGGAGTATTGCCATGGAAACAAGTCGTACTACCTGCAGTTAAGGTTGCTCGCTATGGTTTCAATGTTACCGCCGATTTAGCCCGCTACATGGCTTCTTCTACAAGTTCTTACGATTTTTGACGTATGACGAAACTTGGGCAATTGACTTTGCACCAAATGGGACCAGAGTCAAGTTGGGTGACTTATTCACAAGAAAAAGATATGCGAATACACTTGAAACCATTGCCGAACATGGTCCAGATGCATTCTACACAGGCGCCATTGCAAATGCTACAATCGTTGCACTCCAGAAATCCAACGGAACGATGGAACTTTCGGATTTGAAAAATTACACTATCGAATCTAGAATCCCTTCGAATATTACCTATCGAGGTTTTAAAATTCATAGCGGAACTGCTCCATCCAGCGGTGCTGTAGTTTGCAGTGTTTTGAACATTGTTGAGGGTTATGATATGTCAAGTCCAAGTCAGCTGAACTTCTCGACTCATTACCTAGATGAGGCAATGCGATTTGCTTATGGTCAAAGAACCTTGTTGGGAGATCCAACTTTCCTCCCAAACTTGACAAGTTATCAGCAGGAGATGTTATCAGAAGATACAGCTGTTGAAATCCGATCGCAAATCGAGAAATATCATACTTTGAATGTATCCGCTTACAACCCTCAAAATTATGGTATTCTTTCTGATGATGGAACATCTGCTTCCGTTGCTGCTGATAAGAGCGGTCTCACAATTGCCATGACATCTACCATTAACACATTATTTGGAAGTAGACTCATGGTTCCAGAAACAGGTGTCATTATGAACAATGAAATGAATGGTAAGATCTTTAATCCAAACTTTGTTTTTATTTTTCTGCATCATATTAATGATTCTCTAGATTTCTCTATCCCAAATACCACCAACGCTTTCGGTTATGCTCCCGCCCCAGCCAACTTCATTCAACCCTTCAAGCGACCCCTCTCCTCCATCTCCCCAACCATCGTTGAATACCCCAATGGCACTGTCTACATTGCCCATGCCTCTGCAGGCGGCTCCCGTATTATCACAGAAGTAATCCAACATCTCTGGCACGTCCTTGACCAAAACATGACTTCTGCCGAAAGTCTCCGTCAACCAAGATTACATGATCAATTATCTCCTAACAACGTCTACTTTGAGTATGGATCCGAAACTTTCGGTATCGAAGGATACAGTAATGAAACCACGGCATTCTTTGAGGAAATCGGAGCAACAATTTCGTTTGTAGCAGTGGGAAGTACGACTGCGCAGGCATTGAGGAGATTAGGAAACGGAACTTTTGAGGCAGCAGGTGAACCCAGACAACTTAATAGTGCGGGCTACACGATTTAGATCTTAGGGGTGGCAATAAGGATACGGTGTACATGTGACATGATAATGAAAAGTTTATTATTCCCCTATTACTCCCTATCACTGGGATATGTACTTTAGAATTTTGACAATAATAAGCATTTTAGTTTACGATTTCATAAAAAGCAATTTGAAACTTCTTTCAATTCAAGCCTTTATCTTTGGCTATCATTCATTCAATTCTAGAAGGAGAATCTGCAAATAATAAATACTCTACATCTTATCATTGCATTTAATTGGGTTTTCTAATCACTTCCGAATTCTAGGCTTTGCCTCATTCCCTACCTGGGTACCCACGGATTCTACCATTTTACCCCATCGCCATAGCTGAAATCACGTCTATCCTCCGGAAATATTTATAACGATGAAATCATCACTCCCAGCCGGACTCAGTATCAGTAAGAGGACTTCATAGTAAAGCGGATTTCCGAAGAGTTGTCACAAGATTGAAAGTTCAGAAAACTATACTTAAAAGTCGAATCAAATTATTAGCCGAAAATCTTAAAGTTGAATGAAGGGGTTATTTTATTTGGATATTGAGAAAATTGGGTATGATATAAGTACATAGTGTATAACAAGAGATGTCTATGTAATTAGATAAATCGGCAGTTTTCTCAGAGAGAGACGAGCATAATAAAATCGCAGTTGATATCAAATGACACCAGAAATCATACGACCAGCGATTCAGATCTAATTAACTTGTGCCGCAGGAATTTCCTATGATAAACAAAAGTTTGAAATGAAGTATTCATATGCGAAACTATCAGAACATTTGGTTCGAATGTAAGTATCTTTCAACGTTCGTTATGGCTCATTGGATTGACACATAAAAATGAACAAATCAACTGAACCCCGAGTGTTAATGATAACTGTAAAGTTATCAACTATTCCGATAACAAGTCGATGGACCCTTAAGTTGGGATATATGCAAAAGGTAGCATGTAAGCTACGAAGATCATTGAGGCGATCAATCATACTGCATAACACTGAAAAGCATGAGTTGGGGACGGAAGATTTTCGATGCTGCCAAAAATGGGTAAGATCATCAACAATGTAGCAACCAAGCATATAAATAGCGAGCAGATCTTATTTGACTAACAATAGATGATAGATGTGAGCTAGTACCACACAAGGATATAACACAATCATTAAATGATAAATTTGATCCTTTTAAGAAAGGATCTAGAGAAAGAAATTAGTGTTGACCAAGGAGACGCAAACTGGTATACCAAACACACCACCATTAAACCTCAAACCATCCATAAAAATCAACCGGGCGATTTTCCTTTTGATATCTCATCGCATATTGATCTTGAGATACGCGCCATTTTTCCATCCTGACAATATACCTCCAATGACCTCCAGTAACCAACTGAGAACTCCCTACAAACAGCCCCGGAACGTCATAACAAGAGAATAAAAATCCATGTATTGTTTCCAAGAATCAGGAACACATCAATGTTGTTGGCGGCCTTACTTCTAAAAGATATCCAAGACGAACGTAGATGCCAATATGAGATGATAAATTAATCGGTCATCCTATCTTTGCTGATGATCTGATGTGTACATGTTCTAGTTCATATCGTAGTATTCCTGTAATATAATTTTGTTATTGAGTAGTAGCCGCAGCCGCAGCTGAAGCCATCTGTGCTAATAATGTATGTTCAGCAGAGACTCTTCTTTCTTGCTCTGCCTTTGATTGTGGTGATCTGACTGGAACAGTGGCGGCGGTGTTAGGAACGTGATTGTTGATTTTTGTGGCGTTTTGAGGACGTAATTCAGCTTCTAGACTAGAAGAATTGACATGTGGCTGTGCGTGGGCCTATAAAATTAGGGATTTAGTAGGGTGATTGATTTGTGGAAAGGATGACAAAAGAAAAAAGAGAACACTCATTAAGAGTTGAATAACAGTAGATGTGACAACTTACTGGAATTTGTCTACCTGATCCACTTGCTCCACCCGCTGCTATAGTAGTAACGCCACCACTAGTTGCCAAAGTAGATCGTTCTGGTGTATGCTTTTTATCGACAATTAACAACCCATCTTCTGATGAACCGCAAGAATCTCGCTGTGCAGATGCAGATGCTGTTGCTTCGAGTTCACCATCCTTGACATCCTTCCAAGAACATTTAGCATGCTTCTTTGTGCATGCAGCACAAGCAGTCATATGCTTGGTGCATGTAAATCGTAAACGTCGACATCGATCGCACGGTGGTGTAATTGGATCTCCTTTGTGGAGTTTCTCAATTCTGGCAGCCATCAAAACACGATATTGCCCTTCGATCCCGTCATCAGAGGTAGATGGTGGTTGTGATGCTCGTTGGTGATCAGAACCTGGAGCTGCACCATTGAAAGAATGGAAGTTTGAGTGCTCAGAATTATTAGGGCGGGGTTGCTTTGATCTTGGCTGAGATGGCAACGATTGACGACGGCTAGGGCTATGAAATTGTTCCAACAAATCTTGTTGCAGCTTGGCCGTCTCACCATTCAAGGGAGCAGGTGATCTGCTTCGATTGACGGCAGAAAATGGTTGGGATGCGAATGGAAGGGGGGATTCAGTAGGTTGTTCGGGAGATTTTTTTGCCTTGATAGCATTCTTTCTGCCTTTCATATGATAGTTGAGTTGTCTTGCTTTACTAGCGACTGCATCGGCCTTTTTGATCAACATTGTAAGTCTATTCTCGAGAATGAGAAGGGTACCAAGTTCAGAGTCCTCATCTTCTGGTAGAGGTTGACTTGGAATCATCCTTTCCGGTGCACCTGACATGATCAATCGATAATCGTCTTCAGATATTTCGACTTGACCTCCATTGATCCAGAACCGACAAACTTTCATGCTATGTAATGCATCGCTAAGAATAAAGTCTGCTGGGTTACTACGCGCGAAAGAAACCACTTCCAACCAGGTAATTGGCGTTTGTTCGAGAGCATAGGAGCTTTGGACGACTTTGATTGGACCGTCAAAAAGCTTTTCAAATGATTTCAATAGCAAAGGACCGACAAGTTTCGCACCAGTTAGGATGCCAGACTTTCGCGTCGTGAAGAACACCTAGTTACGTTATTATTATATCCCTCAATGTTCATCACGCACAAGTAGAATTTCCTCCCTTGCTCCCCCACCGAGCGGGAATCAATACACGTGATTCATGTACACACCTTCATATTCGTCCAACATGCTCAAAACATCTCCGAACGTTTCGGGATCTCCTTCGACCAGTTTAAGTTTGTCGCTTCTAGCTTTGACTAAATAGTTGATTTGCGCAGCAGCTGTTGGAGTTGCGCTTTCGCCCAATCGAGGAGCTTGTGTTATGCGTCCATGACCCTGACTTCCTGAACTTTCCGGGCTACGTTTCCGTTTTTCACCATGGGGCTCAGTTGTAGGCTCCATGATTATCGCTGCAATTCAATTGTTTGGAATGGCAAATTGTAATCTATATATCGATAATACGTAGGTGAAGAAAGGTGATGAGGATGAGCGGAGGGGGAAGGTGGAGAAGTAGGAGAGGCGGAGAGGTGAAGCCAAGTTAAGAATGAAGAAAGGGAGGAGCAGAGGGTGATTTTAATGTTTCAAGTCAATCGTGAGATTGAAGTTCGAAGTGCAGATTGATAGGAGACAGATAATACGAGTTGTGGTTACAAGTAAACAAAGTTTGGATGGAGGATTGTGAAGGAACTGTTTTGTACAAAGCGGAAGATGGACCTCCGCCGGTCGCGCTTTCCTCGGTCGAAGGTTAAACCTTAAAGAAACACCCACGTGATGAGACCTGGGTTGTTCACTTAGGAGCCAAGGTACTTGGCGCCTGGTAAGTTTCCACTCGGGAGATAAAGGGAGATAAAGGTGTGAATAGACCGATCCCATTAAGCACGAGAGAGGCAAGGAGGTATCATTCCACGGGTTAGAGTTGGAATGTTTGATTCACAAATAAATGATTGAATTGAGCCTCAAAATACCTCTCCAGAATGGTTCTAAGAGGAGCATCTCAATGCTCCATCCGTCCCGTTCCTTTTATTTACATATAGTCTTGATGTGAGATTACAAGGTATACGATGTAGGGTATATATATAGATCATTTCTTCTCATCCGTTCTATTTTAGCTGAGAAAAACCTCCGACATTCCGCTCCCCTCCCCTCTCCACTGAAAGAGGGAGCACTGTTCAAGTTGAAATATATGTATTGCCATGGTTCTCTCCGATATGACATGATTAGATATTCGTCTACCCTAGCCATCTCCAGGAAGTCTCGCATATTTATCTATTGCTCTCTTGGTGAAGAGAGATAATTCAGTATGTGTTTGGGTGGATTGATCTCCCCTCACCTGCCGTTGAGTTGGATGGACTATGGAAGAAGCACACAAAGTACAGAATATACTTATTGCAATTCTCACCAATGCATCACTCATAAATCTCAGTCAACCATTTGAGTCTAAATGTAGGATACCGTATCTACGTTCTCAAATTTGGAATCATGCCCAGGTAGGTAGGTACTGGTGGTACAAATTAAAGCGATCAAACCTACAATTTTTTATGATGAATACCTAACCATCGACGAGGCTGAGGCCTTTTCAAGCCCCGCCACTGGAAACAACCATCAATATTTACATACATTACCCCTTCAGCTGCATACAAAACAGCCAGAATACTTCTCTTCCAACCAATTTCCCACACTCGTTTTTACCATCGATTCAATACTTTACATACCGTGAGCTTCCTCAAATAGAACAGTAGTTTTTTTCTTTTCCGCACTGCACTGCCACTCACTAACAATTACGAGGTAGTCTTGCAGATCTCATCATTGATATAAAAGGGGCAGCCGCGCGCTTTATCCTTCTTCCCGATAATACACATCATACCCTCAATCGACTAACATACCTACCTCAACTATTCCAAATTCCGTTCGCATACTCTCCCTGAAGATTACACTCAAACCACACAATGGCTTCCACCAACGGAGTTACAGACACCAATGGAGTCACCGCAGGACTTTTCGGGCCTGAGCTTGTCTCCCCCGACGTTGCCAAATCCCTCCCTGAATCATATACTCTCCGCGCCCTTCAGAAGTCAGATTATGCTCGCGGATTTTTAGACGTTTTACGGGTTCTGACTGTTGTTGGGGATATCACAGAAGAGCAATGGAATGAGAGGTACGATTGGTATAACAATCAAGGAAAAGGTGGCTACTACCTCCTAGTCATTGAAGATCAGGGAAAAGTTGTTGCTACGGGCGCTTTGATTGTGGAAAGGAAATTGTGAGTACTAGTTTATGGAGGCCAGTGCCGAGAAGGAATGAATACTGACTTAATGAAAAGCATCCATAATCTCGGTCTCGTAGGTCACATCGAAGACATTGCCGTAGCGAAAGACCAACAAGGAAAAAAACTCGGATTGAAGATGATTCAAGCATTGGATTTCATCGCGGAGAAGATCGGTTGTTATAAGAGCATATTAGACTGCAGTGAGGCTAACGAGGGATTTTATGTAAAGTGTGGGTTCAAGAGGGCTGGTTTGGAAATGGCTCATTATTATGATCACTAAAACAAGCACGGAGATAACAAGTTTGGATCTCTAGACATAGCGAATTGGTTGGATTTTGATTTGGAATTGAGCATAGAGCGAGGGTTATAAATGGAAGACAAAAGGATACCATGTACAGATTTGTTTTGATTGGGAATGGATTATTTAGTCCCGGAAAATTTAAAGCAATGAATATTAGATTAGATTTATTGTGATTTGTTTCCTCATCCTTTTTTAAAACATTTGCGATTTTCTGATGCTTCAAACCCATTGAGGTTTTTTGACTGTTTTTTTTCCTCCTAGTAGATCCAAGACCAGTCCTCAATCCAATTGGACTAGATTTCATAACGATTCGAGGTTCCTTCTTGATTGGCTTTCTTGTAACACCAGCAGGACTCATAAGTCCCAAAGCGGAGTCTCTAAATTTCGTCTCTGGATCAATCTTCCTCGAAGGAAGTGAGATGACGGTCGGTTTGATCACGTCTTTCCTGTAGATTTTGATGGGCACAGAAACCCCGGATCCAATAACCACCCCTGACCGTTCATCAGACACATAGCTGTCAGAGTTTACAGACATTCCTCTCACTCTCCATCCCAAAACATCCTCCTCAACTTCGTCCAATAATCCACCCAAGCTTATACGTCCCTTGAAAGCATCATCTAGCCCTATCCTAATACTCTCTTTCCCATCCCCTAAGGATAAGCTACCATGGTTCCCTCCCCATACATTTGTTGCGTTATTTTCAGATTCCCAGTATCCCTTTCCTGCTTTGCTTCTGCCATTGATTTTCAAAGGCGGAAGGTCAGCAACCCACCCATCTAGCTCTGCCATTTCTAATTCTTCCACATATTCTTCCACAATATCAGCCAACTCAATCATCCCCTCGACTTCCTCTTCCATGATCAATACCATTTCTGTCAACCCGCCGAGTACATCCCCTTCCAAACCATCTAATTCCTCCCCACACATCATCTTCTCCCCAGTAATTGTGTCCATTACAGAAGCTACTTCTTGAAGTAAAGATGCGAGTTTATGAGCGGTTGTTTGATGACTGGGTGGTGTCGTCGGCATTCGCGAGTAAGGCTGAAGTAGTGGAATCATTTCGGATTGATATGTAGATTCTATCGGAGCTTGCGTCATGACATTTGGATGTCTCTTCGTTGCTACCACCTCATCGTTACGCTGAACTGTATAATTTGGCATCGATATTGGCGCTATTTAACAAACTGAAAGGTGATGTAGATTTGAGACTTCTAATTGCTCTTGCGATATCACTTGAGATCTCTCAAAGTAAATGAATACTGGTGAACGAAACAGGACTTGAATCTCCAAGATGAGTTTTATTGCTTTGATCCTCGATTGTTCGACAGGGTGTCATAAGTATTTGAATTCTGCGTTAGATATTTACCACATTCCAAGACGGGGCAAAGTAAATCATAAAAATGCTGTTGGCCTGGAAATTTTACAGCCATCCGAGATATTTTACTGCATCCCACATCATCGGCCAGGAATCGCATGATGATATTGAGATCTTTAAAATATGCTACTCATGCTGCGAATCCTTTTTATCTGATTGTGGATAATTATCATGGGAATTAACAGATGTTGATCAGGGATCGTAGGAAAAAAGGGGGACAAGTATAGCGAATCATGGCCGGTTACTGCACGAGCAATTCATGCAAAAGGTAAACGCATTGATGAACCTCGAGTTGAAAGAAAAATGAAGAATGTTTACCTAGGTAATTTTTCAAATACCGAGATATGGGGTGGTTCCATAACTCATTGCAGGTAAGGGATGAATTGAAATCCAAGAGGGAAATTAGGATATCAGAATGAGCCCGGCAAAGTAGATAACACATCTGTATGGTAAATTACTTTGTTCAAGACAGTGAAAAATTATACAAAGTCAAACTTAAGAATCTCTAACACGTAGCTTTAGAATCGCATTCTTATATTCGAAAAAAAAACCCCCCAATTGAGGGTTTGGCTGATTTTTGTCGTTATTTTTGACGTCATGATTGAGCAGGCTGGAATTTGCAGTGGACAAAATTTATTCCAACCCAAGGAGACATTCAAACTTAGCGAGACATTCGAGTTTGATGATATAATTAAGCTCCATGAAATAATTTGCACCAGTTCAAACGCCCAAGCGATGTTGAATGTTCAATGCAGAGCGTACTCAACATCACTTCAGATATCTCTCAGACAACGTATGACAAGAACATGATTATCGGAGCAGCCACTAGGCCTCACTGCACTTGCATTGGGAACCTGAGATGACCATAGGATCGTTGGTTGCTTGAAAAGCCAATCACAAGATCTTTCAACTCCCCGCCTCTCAACCTGGTAGCACCATATCACATCGTCTGATTAATAAAAGCCCAGATATTCAACGTCATGTTTCATTCGTTATATTCGTATCATTCCCAAAATATCTTTCACCTCAACGACCTTGGGATATCATATCTGCATCCATTTAGGTGGCGCTTGTAAACAATCGGGTTTGATGTGGGCGTATTTGGTTTTCCCCTGAAGCGCATTGAGATGTTCTTGTGGATTTCATTCCCTTTCACCCGAAATTTTCTTCTACCCTATTATCCTTTTCTCATTCTTCCTGTTGTACGAAAGGATTCGCGATTTCTTCGCTGCCATCAACGGGACTAATTCCAATGAGTAAGGTTCCTCTTGCAACCACTAAACCTAGTGATCTCCAGGCTTCGGTTCCTTCATCATCTGCGAAAAGACTAAGTCAGTTGATGGGTCTGGCAGAATACAAATATACTTTACCAGTCAGCTTCTCCTCTACATCATCTAATACCAGATTCATCAGAGCATCATAACCCTTCAATGTGCCCTTCACTAAAGAGGATTTATGTCAGTTACTTTCGAGTTTAACAATGCAACCGATAACGTACCATGTCTGCCACCATTAAACTTGACTGTGACCTGCTTATCCATGTACTTTCCCAGGTCCAAGATATTCTCCTTCTTTGGTTTCTCAAAATTTCCCCCGCCATGTCCACCCCTCTCCCCACCATGACCTCCTCTACCACCTCCCCTGCCACCTCTGTGTTCACCATGACCTCTACCACCTCCACGTCCGCCACCTCTGTGTTGACCTTGACCCCTTTCAGACATCCTGTCGCATGTATGAGAAAATGCGGTCTGTTATTTGTTGGGGAAATTATGTGAGGTTATTGACGGTACCAAAGAATTCTAGAACTTTTGTGGTGGAGAGCTACAGCAATTGAAGCAAGTTAGCCGCTAGAATAAAGCGACATAAGTGGCTGATATGGAAGGCTGTAAAGACGAGGCTGAGATCAGAAACTGTGGCTGTACATAAATACGGGCGGGCGGTGTCGACACAACGGAATTGATTACCATTCCAATCTTACACGAAGGATTAGATCAACTTGTTAGGGATCCTTCTACTTCACCAATACAATACTCACATAATATCTACGAAAGTGCGGCGTTTTAATTATTCTCAAAATTGACAGGAAACTAAAAATCCTGCGCTCGGTCATCCTAGGAATCATGTTAAAGTCGAGTGTCTCGAGAGTGTCTGATTCTAGGGAGCACTGGTGGAGGTTTCTTGAAAGTCATACTCCAGTCAAACCAGTACCACACCGGCAACTGTCTTTATTTTACGAGACTGTGAGTGCACATCCTTAGGTAGGTACGATTTATCAATATCTTCGCATTCTTCACTATCATGTATGGTTGCTATCACAACTTCATTCCCAAGGTCACTACGCATTATCACATGTCAAATGATCTTGAAGTTCCATGGTCAACACCCCGCCACGATTCAATGATCTTCATCCTACATCATGGGAGATAATATGTACCATAATTATTCAGTCCTATCAGGTACGACGACCTCAATTTCATTTACTTCGATCATGAATTTGTAGGATCGACGTCGAGGAAGTCTTAATTCCCGAGACCTAATCGAAAACCTCAATTTGCCACGCCTATTGTAATCGATGAGTTTGAAAGAATTAGAGCCTCAAGCTCTAGAGGCTCTGGATGAAGGACTGCCATATGAGGCAGAGGAGATAGAGGGAACAGAGGACAATGCAGTGATGTACCATGAATGTCTGCCGCAGATAATTCGAGAATCGACGCTTCTTCCATCGCCTATTGCCACTGCTGTTAGCCTGGTGACGAGATCATCTTCTCTTTATATTCGACTTGGGACATTCATAGGGGGACTTGCTATAGATGGTGCACGAGTAACAACACTCACCGGGTTAGAAGTCAGTAGAGCTATTATCGAGGGAATACTACATCGTGCTGGAAAGGACGTTGCAAATCGAAGCACTGGGGAATTAGGAAAGTTGGAAGCAGAAGGGCTACTGGAACGAAGTATTGCGAATTTACACGCCACCATTACAGGAATATCATTCGCTGCTTCTACTAGTTTTCATTTTTCTTCTGTAGCTTTGTCTTCAGCTACAGACATTTCACAACAGCTACTTGGTACACTGGATTCGATTCTTGGATCGACTGATTCTTCGAGAGCAATAGCAAGCATCATTACATTAATTCGCCGAGAGTTTCAGAACCCCGCCACAGGAGTGGAAGGAGAAAATGTTAGTGTAGGCGATCTTTTGCTGGGTATTTGTGGGTTGGCATTGTTACAAAGATGGTGTCGCAAATTGACTGACCTGGAATGTCGAGAGAACAAACACGAGGAGGTTCTTTGGGATGTGGTTGTACTTGATGATGGCCGGCGAGCGGATGTGGTCGGTATGATATCAGGAGATTCCTCCGACCGTCAAGGAGATCCCACCAAGTTGTCTTTCATGAATACAAGAGGCGGTGAATTGTTAGAGACGATTGAAAGAGAGGAGCCAAGTCAAGCTGATGTTGGCGAGGACAAGGTGGAGAGCGTATTGAGACAGAGGCTAATCAAGTCACTACCTTCTGATACCTCTGTTTCCATCACGACCTCTACCATCACAACAACTATAAAAACAATCACCGTCGAAGTTTCAGGGTTCGAGCCTCCTGTTTTTTTGCCACCTCCCGGTGTGGAGATATTGGAAGAACATGCCATTCGTCTTGAAAATGCGGACCTAAACACAGGGGGCAAACAACCAGAAATTACACCAGTACCGAGATATAGAGTCGTGTATGGAATAGTAGGAAATAGATTGCGGAATACGAGTATCGCAGAACAAGAATTACTCCAAGCTATTGAGAAGAACGTAGAAAGCGATGATATTTCGGGCGATGACCAGGACAGTGACGCTCCTAGCAGCGTCGCCTATTCAAACATACCCAAAGCGGATTGTATCGACGATGGTTTGCCTGTACAAGACGAATACTCGCCTGTCAATCTCCGCCGGAGAACTACTGGTAGCAAATCAAAAATACCCAGGCTTTCACTTCCTGGTGTTTTGGATGAGAAATGTATAGTAAGTACGGAAACGTCTTCTTTGGTTTCGGACAACTTGGCAAATCAGAAGAGATCAAGAAAGCCTATCAGCCCAACTTCACCAGATGATAGTTCTAAACAGATTTTCCTCAAGCCGATTTCGAATAATCAAATATCTAAAAAATCGAAGAGCGATGAAATAATGGTGGAAGGACAAGATAAGAAAACTTCTTTTCGCCAGGCCTTGAAAGGAAGATCTAGTACCAAGTTATCCAACCTGTTCAACAAAGATGGAAGTAAAGAAGACAGCAAACCCATACTTCCACCTCGGCCTCGTCCAACATGGGGAGACCCCACTCATGCATCAAAAATTAGATCTACCTCAGCCCATCTATCAATTCCACAGAAGCGGCCAAGAAATACTGCAGGCTCCTCAACACCTTTACGTGGAAATCAGACCCCATTGACGTCGGAAAATCTTGATAAGATTCAGCCTGATTTACCACGCACTCCCTCTAGAACCAGTTATTACACGGTCCACGAACAACGAAAAGATTCAATGGTTTCTCAAACTGACACTTATTCAATCCATTCTTTTGACCAAGGCCGTCCTCATTCCCCAGCAACACCGAGAAATCGTTACATGGGCCAGAACAATGCTATGAGGTTACGATCGGAAAGGGGTATGACCCTCGAAAATTCACTTTCAACACCCAAAAGCCATCGACGCACGCATTCAAATGAAGAAAGCATATTTACATTAAATACAAACAACTCAGAAATTTGTCTCATCCCAAATTTTGGAAGAGAAAATGGC